CAGATGACCTCTGGAAGGAGCATTACATAACAACTTTACTTTTGGAAACATGTGAAGATTATAAACAAAATATTGGCAAAATAAATTATAATAGCTAAACATTATAATGTATTCTATTAAGTAGAGTTTATCTTAGGAATCTTTGGAATATAAACTGAATTTAACACTAAAAACTCTGTCTAAACCAACATGTCAATATTAATATGGTGGATTTTCTTAATAAGGGCATCTGAATTTCTAGTAAAAATTCTTAACATGAGGATGGGAGAAACATCTTTAACCTGATATTCATAATACAATGTGGCTGCCTGCATCACTCTTTATTAAATAATTCATTAAATGTTTTTCTAGAGGTCATAGGCTACAGAATAACATGAAAAATCTAAATGACTAGAAGGGAAGGAATAAACTTTCATTATTTGCATATGACATAATATTTTTGTAGAAAACAAAAATGGTAAAATGTATTATAATTAGTAAGAGAGCTTAGCAAGATTACTTTATAGAATGACTGAATAGTATTCCTCTACATTATCAATAAGCAGGTAAATATTTTAATTTTAAAGCATAGTTTTATATAACCTTGACCAGATACTTGAACATTGTCTAAATATTAAACAACAGACATTTATTTCTCACAATTTTAGAGGCAGGGACATCCAAGCTCAAGGCCATGTGGTGCCTGGGGAAAGGCCCGCTTCCTTACAGAGGATGCCTCTAGTTACATCTTTGTATAATGGAAAAGGCAAAAATGCCCCCCCCCCATAAGGGTACTAATCCCATTTATGAAGACTCTGGCCTTATAATATTATGACCTCCCAAAGACTGTAATCTTAGGAGTGAGGATTTCAACATATAAATTTTGGGGGTATACAAACATTCGGACCACAGCAATAATATTAAGGACTCATTGTTATTTTATCCTAAGGGTGGCATTTCTTTCCAAATTATTCTTTAGTCTCTAGGTAAGTGCAATTACAATCTTGATGTGGAAATGAATTTAAGAGCAAAAGGAAAATATGATATTCTTGAAGAAGAAACTAGGGTGACTCACTATTTTGGATATTAACACATAAACTAATAATAATGAAACAGCACATTATTGTGGAGATTGAAGAAAAGGACAAATGGAATTGAAATGGGAGCTCAAATCCATACAGACATGGAAAGTCGTGTATGACAGATTGTCATTGCACATTAGTGGGGACGATTTGGTGAGGAGTTCCAGGACAATCATTAAGGTGGGAAAAGAAATTGCATCCTGACACACACATACCCCTCTAGGCAAACAATGAAATGTAAAAACCAATTCCTTAAAGCTTTTAGAAAAAAAGTAAAAATCACCTTCAGTTTGAAAAGGGTATCTTAAGCATGTCAGAAAATCTACAAAATGTATCACATTACAATTACGTACATTAAAATTATGTATCTTATGCTCATAAGATAAGACTTTGCAAATGATGAGAGAAGCCAAAAAACTGGGAGTGGTCATGTGCCATGAGGTGGCTTAAAAAGGATTATCCACGGCACACAAAGTCTTCGGTAAATATGTGTAAAGCACAGAGCAGCTGTTGTGCAGGAAAGAAAGATGACTAGCTAAAAGATATCTGAAAAGGTCCTCATTGAGAATCAAAATCCAAATTAAAACCACAAAGGGATACAATTTAACACTCATTCAACAGCAAAAGTTAGATGCATCCAAAGTTAGATGGAAAACTCCTTAGCATTTCCTGCAATCCAGTGATTGTAGTTTTGAGGCAAATGCATAATAAAATACAAGTTCACATCCATCACATTGCCAAAAGTACAAACCAAAACAAAATAATGGGGAACACCAAGTGTTGGTGAGGAATGGGGGAATAAGAGCTCTCAGTGAGAGCTGGGGGGAGTGCCATCAAAATCCTTTTAAAAGCTTTTTTGGGGGGTATTTCTCACTAAGGTTATACAAGCACATATGCTATACAAGCACATAATTGCTTGCCTAGAGAAGCTCTCACATAATTCCCATCAAAAATACGAATAATAATGTTCAGCGTTATAATGTTTATAATAACGAGAAACTAGAAACGTATTTAAAATATTTATCTCAGGAGAAATGGTGTAAAAAAGCCAAGAGGAATATAGAAAACCCAACACTGAGGTATAAAAGCAAGTCTCTAAACAATGTATAAGATATCATTTGTATAAAAATAAAACCACACAAAATTAAAGTATGAATTATTAAGGATATATGCATATATATATATATATATATATAAAATTAAAGAACTGGGAAATTAAAAAAATCATCCTGATGGTTACACTGGGATCCAGTGAGTGAAAAAGGGCTTCAATATTATTAGGGATGTTCTACTTCACAAGTTGGAACCTTCCTTTTATTATTCTTTAAATTTTATGTATATTATAGATTTTTATGTATTCAAATTATTTAAAAATATGAAAAATGAAGTTATAATGCAAAAAGTGTATATCCATACCATTAAAAGTTAGTAATGCATACATCTTCCCACTCAGTAATTTAGGTTCATACTGAATAACTTTTAGAAATTCTTCAGAATTGGGACAAATTACTGATTTTTCGGTTGAGCATGTGAAGCAGCTTTGATTTGCCTTTTGAGGCTGTGTGGTGTAACAAATGCATCTTAAAACACTCAGTGCTTTGTCGAGTTGCTTGCACTATAAAACACTTTGGAACCGAGACCAATAAAAGGAATGGCAGATCAAGCATCTTGCACACTCCCTGGTGGATTTATGGAATCAATTAACTGTATAAAAGAGCAAACAAAATCTACAGCCGTATTCTCCTTTCTCTTCTCCTTTTCCACTTACTGTTGCCCACGTCTAGCTAAATTTGTGTAAGTAAAATGTGCATTCTGAAATGTCGCCTTATATGCAGCCAAAAGAACATTACTGACCTATCTTTCTATTACGCATTTCTCATCAAATTGAGTAAAGTTTTAACTCAGTTTATGGCCGAGTCCGTGATACCCCTTTCTGTAGGGAGAACGCAGCAGAGATAGCCAGGCGGGGGATGACAGACAGGGCACAGAGTCAGGTAGAAGCAGACCAGGCCTAGCAGGATGGAAAGGGGAATCCTTCCAAAAGCTCCTCTGTGAAATGTAAGTGGCACTGTTGACTGGTTCAACTAGATATTTAAAAAGAAAAATAGGAAAAGAAAAAAAAATGAATAAGTATCTTCAAAAACATAAACAGCTGGGAAGGCATTCTTCTTGCACCTCCCTGTGTAGGCCGACTGAGCTGTGCCCGCAGACCCGCCTTCTGTCTCCAGTAATTCTTTCCTACACTTTGGGTCTATTTCTTGTTTCTTTCCAGGTGTATATTTGTGGGTGTGTGAGGGGCTCTTAAATAAACAAGGTGGAGAAAGAAAGAAGTATGTGGGAGAAAAATAATGTGATGGCAAAACTAGCCATAGTCTCAAGACAAACACATGGGAATAGAAAGAATAGCTGTAAAATTCTTATGAGACCGCATAGTTTGCCCCAAAAGGAAGCCGATTATTCCCTATATAGTTACTTTTCATTCTAGCAGGAAGAGGAAAAAAAAATGTTATTGAGATTAAATTATTAAATTATTTTTATTATGGTCCCACGTTTGATTCTGATGTATTCATTTAATTTCAGGTCAATGTGAGGATACAAACAACTGGGTTACAAGGTTTGCATTTGTTAGGTAGCTTCCCTCTCGTCGTTGTGTCCTGCACCCAAGAGGTGTGCCATACACCCTACACTGTGCCCAGTAAGTGACAGCCCACCAATCCCCTTCCCTTTTTCCCCAATTTCCCCCCCCCTCAACTTAAATCGGGTTGTGTTTTTTTTTTTAAAGTGGATTGTATTAGGTCCTCTACTGCCTTCATAGTAGTACTGAGTACACTGGATATTTACTTCTCCATTCTTGTGATGCTTTACTAAGAAGAATGTGTCTCTACTCCATCCAGGTTAATACAAAAGATCTTTTGTATGGCTGAATAGTATTCCATGGTATACATATACCACTGTTTGTAATCCATTCCTGGGTTGGTGGGCATTTATATTTTTTCCATACTTTGGTGATTATAAATTGAGCTGTGATAAACAATCTAGTGAAAATTTCTTTATGATAAAATGATTTTCTTTTCTTCTGGGTAGATGCCTAGTGATGGGATTGTGGGGTCAAATGGGAGGTCTAATTAGAGTTCTTTGAGGGTTCTCCATCCTTTTCCAAAGAGGCTGTACTTGTTTGTAGTCCATCAACCGTGTAAAATGTTGCCCTCTCTCCATATCTGTGCCAGAATCTCTATGGTTGGGACTTTGTGATGTGGGCTACTCTGTTTTAGATATTATACAAAAGTTTTTAAAAAATTTTTGCTGACTTCTAAAATGTCACAAACTAAAACAGTGTCACTATGAATTGTGGGATAGGTATGGGAATAAGTATACAAAGTTCAAAAATGACAGCAGAAACATTAATTTCATACTGGTTGGCAGTGTGTTTTGAGTTTGCTCATAGCATCATGTAATTTGGTATGTCAAGTGTACCTAAAGAGTTCTTCCTGTATTATTTTAAAAAGCCATAGCCATATGTTAATCTCATCATTTATAGGAAATCATATTAAGTACAACACAAAATTGCCTCAGCCAGCATGACATCTAGTTTCAGAACTGAGTTTTAAAAGGATTATGTTGATGTTGATAGACGAATCAGACCTAATAAAAGAACTAGTGGGCATTAATCACTCTTTTATGCAGTCCCATAGTGCTTTATTATTTCTTAATTTAAGAAATTAATTCCTTCTGCTTTGATTTAGTATAATTTCTGTGCAAGTCCATCACTTCTACCAAACTGTAAATTTCTTAAAATAGGGTCCTGTCCCATTCATCTTTCCATCTCCCACAACATGTGTGCTTAGTTGCTCATACACATTATTCAGCAGGCATATTTCAAAAGAATAAAGATTTTCTTTTTCTTTTTTTGTTAAAGTGTGCTTTTTAAATGTCTTTCAGACATTTCACACAACTGGATGAAAGTGAAGATGACATGGAGATTTCAAAACAGATTAAGACTCATTGGACTTCTTTGGGCCTGGAAGACGTACAAGTTGTAAATTACTCCGCGCTGCTCAGCCTGCCGGGCCCTTCCCCCAGCACCGTGACTCTGAACAGCAGCGGTCAGTGCTTCCATCCTAATGGCCAGCCTTGCAGCCAAAAAGCCAGAGAAGGCAGCGGCCAAAATCCGCTCTACTCCTATGCAGCCTATTCTGCCAGAGGAACTCTCAAGGTAATATAACCATTTGTCTCTATCATTTACAGTGAATGGAATTAGAAAACAACAGCTTTCATCTAAATTGTACTAACTGGCAAAATGCAACATACAAAAGTAACCATTAAATGTTCTCAGCGTGGAGGTGCCAAGAAAGAAAAGGAAGGTTTGGATTGCTTGACCCTTTTCTTGTCTTATTTTGAAAGTGAAAACACGTTAGAAGAATTTAATTCCAAGGTGTTGAATGTGTAACTGAGTCATTCACATTACTCAGACCATACAGTGCAAATCTATGTCATCCCGTGGTTTTGAAGAGGTACATTTTAATACATGGCTCTGGAGAGAAAGAATAGAAGTGGAGAGGGTTCTATTTGGGGATTGTCTACACACACAAGAGATGAAGTGGGAAATTGATTCAATTATTCACAAGTTTAGCATTTGAACCACAGCACTTCTCTCCCATCATGGAAGTCACATGCAAGAAGAAGCTTGGTGTGAATTAT